GGCCCCTGGACACAGACATGTAAAAGCAAGACATACAGACTGAATCTTTGTGGTTGTTTTCTGTCTCCTTGTGGTTGATTTATGTCTCTTGTGGTTGTGACTTCTAACATTTAATATCACTTTATACTGAGGTTGTGGTCCAGGGGCCCCTGAGGCTGTACGCGGTATGCCTGTTCAGTAATCAGCCATGATACTATCAAGCCAACCATCCCTTTTTGACTCTGGTAGGGGGGACCAGGGGTGGCTAATCAGATTTCAGGTCCACCACCTCCCCACCCATTATCAGCAAACTCAGCTAAGCTTGTAATCTCAAACAGAACAAAATCACACGGCTCAGAGCTTGGTCAAGATATAAACCTGCAGGTGAGAAACCGTTACTCATGTTGTCTCACCTCTGTGCGTCAGGGCTGTTCATCCTCACATGCTCACTGCGTGCAAAAGCTGCAGGATGTGACTATTTGCTAGAGTATTGCAATGCGTGGCATCGGGCATAAAGCTGTCATTGTGCTGTGTGCGGCCGGCCTGGCCTCCAGCGGTGGCACATGTCAGCACAGCCCCACGGACAGACATATGGTGCTGTGATGCCAACCAGGGATAGCTTACAACAGCCGGGAGCATATAAAAACACACACTTGCACACATGCTCGCACTCACATATATTTATGGCTGCATGCTGACACACTGACACTCACACAAATTAAATTTCTCCCTTTCCCCCTTATGGCACTGTTTGCAGTGAAGATAGATGGATGGATGGATCATGACCTGGAAGGATAAGTTTGTGTGTGTGTACATGTGAGCAGTTGTGAGCGTCTGATTTATGCCACAGTCTCTCATCTGGTAGTGTCTTTGATGCTGCAGAAAAGAGAGGCTGCAGAGCTCCAGTTTTCTTTTTGTTTAGTTTAGTTTTGTGTTGAACCGTAAGGAACATTATCCACAAATTGCTATTTTGTTATTAGAAAAATGTAGCACCTATACACCCACACATGAGCCCACAGCGCAGTCGGGGTAGCAGAACGAATTAGATAGTGCTGATTACAAGCACGGAGATACTCAAGGTGGCAGGTTGGTTGACAAAGTTTAATACCTGGCAGTCATTCCTCACAAAGGGACACGCACACACACACAAACACACACACACAAACACACTGCCAGGCCACAAGTTGAGTGAGAGAGAGGACAGAAAGTGGTGGACAGAGTGAGACACTGAGGTGTCAGATAGAGAATAGACAGCGAGGAAGGCGTGAGGATGGAAAGTGTGACACAGTTGTAGTAGCAGCGATGGTGAGATGTCTGAGAGGGAATGAGAGAGCGAGACAGGAGTGTGTGTGTGTATGTGTGGAGGGGATAAGGCGGGATGAAGTGCCAGAGCAGAAGTTGGAAAATGGCCAAAGAAGTATGGAGTACCGCCAGTGAAAGACAGTGAGGAAGAGTGGCGGTGGACTACATAGTCTCATTGAATTTTCAATTCTCCAGTGTATTAAAGGAGTTCCTCCCAATGAAAGTCCTTCTGTTCTGTCATAATTAACTCACAGAATAGCGAGCGGTCTCCGGCCATCCATCAAACCAGGTCTCACTTTTGATGGGGATTCAGTTTTCATTTCTTTTCCATCTCCCTCTCTATGTTTTTTCACTCTTACCTGCTTGAAATCTGTTGAAGAGAGCTAATACCATTACCTCTCATGGCTTTTTGGATGGCAGTGTTGGTTGGTTCTTTTTGCTTTCTTTCTCCTGTGTGAATTCTTGTTTTTCCTGTATCTAATTTTCTGTTTTTTTTTTTCTCATGTCACTTACTTTCCTGCACAGTTCGCTGTACTGTACTAGGCTTTGAGAAAGCAGGTCCATGGCAATCCATCTGACACGCATGACAGTCAACAATACAATGCCTTCTGCCACAATAGTCGCTCAATGGACAATGGGCTGACAAGAGCCCACAAAGCTTTGCTACAGTCAAGCCTGTCTGACTGAGCAGACTGAGTGTAGCTTACTGTAACACATTCTCGTTTTGCATGACTGACTCTGACTATCAGATGTACACCTACAGTATCTCTGCGTTCTCTGCTTCAGTATAATATCTGTTATTTGTGCTCAGTGTTCAAAGGAGACTTCATGAATGATGCCCATATGGTATGAATCAGGGCATTTATGCTAGACACTTTCACAGCACGCCTTATGACGGCTTGAGTGTTTGGCTACAGACCCGCTCTATTTACACACCGTGAAAACCAGCCATTTAAACTTGGCAGTTCTGTGTGTGTGTGTGTGAGTGTGTGGTCTGTGGGGTTATGACACACTGCAGCCCAACTCGGTGAGGAGAGACGCACACGACGCGCTGGGCTTTGAGATCTCCGAGCCATTCATCTGCCGGCACCAGGACAGTGCCAGCAGCTTCCTGCTACGTTCAGGATTTGTGTTTTTGTCTTTGGAGTAGATTTGCAGCTGCTGTCTTTTTCCCTGCAGCCCACACGCTGTCAAGTGGCTCAGAGAGGAGCGTCCTGAAGTCTTCATGGAGCGTAGGAACAAATCATGCTTTAATAGCACTAGCTTTAATAGATGTGCACATATCTGAGATTGTGGGTTGTGGCTCTCAGGAACGTGGTAGGCTGTGGATGTTTACTTCAAGCATGAGGAGGCTCTGGCAGGCAGTGAGGGTCAGTATGCAGACTGTGTGACGGTGAAGGACCTGAGGGCCCTGCAGGATGTTAGGGAGCCCCAGAGGGACGATGAAGTAGAGGCCCAAATCTCAATAAAGTTCTGTATAAGTTACCTCCCATTAAAAAGTCTGGTGACTTACAGTGGAAGGTAATTAATGTAGCAATAACAAGGTTTTCATGAGCAGTCTGCTGTTGAAGGGATAGCTTTTTTTTATAAAATTAAAAAAATAAAATTTTCCACTCTTGAAATGTTATTGTTAAATTCAGGTATGTTTAGGAGTTGGGGCTTGTGTAGAAGATCAAAAGAACAGGTGTATTTTGTTAAATGAAACATTAGGCTACTGTAGGACATTTAAAAATATGGCCTACCTCCTGCAAGCTGTGAGTGTGCTCTGCTTTATAACTGAGAACTCAACTTGGCCCATAAACACATTTTTAAGACCTGACCTGACTGAGTCCATCTCCAAATTTGAGACTCAAAGCTAGATTTTATGCTATGCTACTTTTAGACTAAAAGTGTGCTGGCAGGTGAATTTTTGCTACCTTCGGACAGAGCCAGGCTAGCTGTTTCCCTCTGTTTGTAGTCTCTGTGCTAAGCTAAGCTAACTGGTTCCTGGCAGTAGCTTCACATTTAGCATTAGAGCGGCATTGATCTTCTCATCTAACTCTTGGCAAGGCAGCGACTAAATGTATTTCTGTAAATGTCAAAATGTTTTGGCTCTGCTTTGCCAGTGAGAACGATTTTCAGGTTGTTTTTTTTGTGTGTGTGTGTGTGTTTAATATCTTGAACAGGCATGTGTAGTGTTTCTTCTGCATTTTAAGATAATGTTATATGAAGTCCCAGTTTCTCCCTCTCTCCACCAGTGTGACTCACCTCTGTCAAAGAGTGTGTGTTTTCTCTGTTTTGACTGCTGTGCACTCTCACACACTCACACACTCACCATGCACCAGCAGTCCAGCTCACCACGGCTCAGTAACTGCTTTGAGAAGCTGATGAGGAGATAGAAAAGACTTCTGGCTTCTGTATGTGGCTCGACGTTACAGACTGAAGTCTGTGTGCGTGTTTCATCTTTGACAAAAAGGTCAGTGAACACAGAGGGCCCTTGTTGAGTTTGGCCTCCCTGAATATCAGATAGCACATTACATTTACCCATGACATCCCCTTAGTGGTTTAAATTGGACTCAACAGACATTAAGACAGACTAGCCCCATATGGAAGTCAACTTTCTGGATTTGGACTGCTTTAGTACTTGCATGAGTAAAAGCTAAGCTAAGTTTGAAGTGAACATGAGGCGTGTGTGCAAAATCCTCCTGGACCTCGCTCTGTTTTCTCTGCCCTAAAAAAACGGTTTGAAGCACTTTTATAAATGGCTATGACGCTGATGGCAAGACTTAATTTTCGTCTGGAGCAGAGTAGGAAAAGCACACAGGGGTTT